GATTCAGCTGAAAAAGAAAGTTGAGCAAGGATCCAGGGTGAAGATCAGTGTTGCCCAAGTGTGTTAGAATCCCTTAGGAGTGAGGAAGGCAAGATCTCCACAGCTCCATGGGACACTCGTCTCCTTAAGTGAGGATGCTCCTTATTTTGTATAAGTTAGTGTGGCATCCACATGAGGTCCTCAGAAAAGGTCCTGGTCTGGCTTTGGAGACAGCACTCAAAAGAAATGAGTGGGTCCATTTCTTCCAAATCTGCTGGTATTTTGTCCAGTGCAGTGCAGGATGGTTAAAAAAAGGGCACAAGTTTTCTCCTATGGGTCCCAGACAAGCTAACTTGTGCAGAACAGAAAAAGACTGGGCAAAAAGAGGCAGAAGTCCCTTTCTATGATATCTGGGCACTGGAACTCTACCTCACTAGAAAGAAGAAGTGTGGTTAGTCTCCTCCGGAGGACTGAATCACAAGTTCATTCTCCTGTGTTCCTCCTCTAGTGTGCCAACCTGCAGTCCGCCATCGCCGATGCTGAGCAGCGCGGGGAGATGGCCCTCAAGGATGCCAAGAACAAGCTGGCTGAGATGGAGGACGCCCTGCAGAAGGCCAAGCAGGACATGGCCCGGCTGCTGAAGGAGTACCAGGAGCTGATGAATGTCAAACTGGCCCTGGATGTGGAGATCGCCACCTACAGGAAGCTGCTGGAGGGCGAGGAGTGCAGGTGGGAACTCACACACAAGCCCCTCAAACATCTTGGATCCACGTTCAGGATGTCAGGCCATGAGGCACCCTAGTTATGGCCATAATGGCTGCTCTCGGAGAACCATTTCAAAGGCAGCTTCCCCATGGGCTCTCCTCACATCGACGCTTCCCACTCTGGTCCACTGGTAGCTCTCTGAGGTCTCATGCTCCCTGTGTTTTCTCCCTTCCTAGGCTGAGTGGGGAAGGCGTTGGACAAGTCAACATCTGTAAGTACCTTTGCTCGCCTCCCTCCCTTGCCCTTGTGCTCTTCTGACTGGACTGAGGCTGGCAGAGTGAGCTCACCGTGTCCTTGTGTCTTTGTCCCTGTCCCCTTCACAGCTGTGGTGCAGTCCACCATGTCTGGTGGCCATAGCAGCACCAGCGCTGTGGGCGGTGGCTCAGGCCTGGGCGGAGGCAGCGGCTACTCCTACGGCAGCGGCCACAGCCTTGGAGCCGGCTTCAGTTCCGGCAGTGGCAGAGGCATGGCGGGTGGCTTCAGCTCCTCTGGGGGCAGCAGCTCCACCATCAAATACACCACCAGCTCATCCTCCAGCAGGAAGAGCTACCAGCACTAAGTCCTGCCATCGGCTCTTGGTCCCACGTTGTCCCCGTCGATAGCCGCATTGCCCTCTCTCAGGCTACTTCTCTTCTCCCGCCTCCATCTTCCCTCGGCCCCTGAGTTACAGCTGAAGTGGCCTCATTCTCATTTCCACTGTCTACACCTGCTGTACCTGAGCTCCTATCATTCACCATCAGAAGGTTAAAAATCACTGACCCTCAGACAAGCACATGTCCATTTGATGTGCCCATCTTATGATCAGCTCTGTCTGTCTTCCAAGATTCTAGGGTGAAAATGACCTATGCCCCTCTTAAAAACTGAAATTCAGTGTGGATCATGCCACAGAATAGCGATACTTCCTTTTGATTTCTAACGGTCCTGCCCGTTGTAGCTACACTCAGGAGTTCCCCATATGATAAACAAGTTGTTATCTCCCCGGGAACTGTCCCTCAATGGTATTGACACAACCCTCTCAGGTACACAGTTATATTCCTGCAATGTTTTCTTTCTGCTTTCGGCTTTCTTTCATTATGTTAAATAAAGCAGATTTCTAATGTAAAGATTCTGTGTCAGATCATGCAGCTGATCATGTATTAGATCTGAAACTGTCTCATCCCAACCTGATCCTTGTCTTTGGAGAACCATCTCTCAGCCCTGCTGACAACTTACCCTGCTTCATACCCAACTCTGTCAGTCAACATTATGTGACACTTAGCTATCCTCTGCGTGGTATGACTACCAACAGCTATTCAACCACTCAGGGCTCTTCCTCAAAATGGAGTCTTCTAAAAAGCTTCAGGAAAGAAAGGGAAGTGAGGATCCTGGAAACTGGATTAGCATAATCTGATAATTGAGGGGTTTTGTTTTTCGAATTCAGTCACTCAGTGGCTTGGTCCTCAGCCTGGTCTCCTCCACCCAAGCCCCAGCCACGCCAGGAAAACACTGCACTGATCCAGCAGAACAAAGGCCAATTGGTAGGAAGGGAAAATGCTTGATTTCGCTTTATGATAACAAATGTTTGCTGCAAAGTTGTTGTTTTTAAGCAACTTCTGAGATGCATCAGTTGAACCAATTGCTACAGAAAAGGAATATCCCCAGATCTGGGGTGGATGTACTGAAAGCCTGGGAGCAGAGGAGTAAATGAGTTGAAATAGGTTTCCTTTGCACTCAAAGACATTAGGGTCCCACTCAAGAACTTGACACATGCTGGTTCTAATCCATAGAACCATACACCTAAACACAGGGAATTTGACTGTCTTTAAATTAGGTCACGATTTCCTGGAAACAAAGTGAGGCAGTCAAAAAAGTTAATAGAATGAGCTAATAAAACCTCCAAGCAGTGTTGGTTGGAGACTTTGTTTTGAAGTGCTGTTGGCAAAAGATGAGACTGAAAGATGGTCCATGTTGACGGATGGCTCCCAGATTAGCACGGGGGCGGTTCTGGCTGGGGAACACTCTCCTTTTGTGATAGGACACCCAAAAGCCATTTTCAGTGTAAACTTCATGCAAATTTTGGCAAGCAAAAACAGACGGCGGAGGCTCATTCAAATCTTCCCAGATATCGGTGTCAGGGTTATAATTTTGACTTTCACACAGAAATGGGCTTTCTATCTTTTAGGCTACGTTTACACAAGTTTATTCTAGAATATGGCTAACCAGACATTCCATACCATGAATTATCTGTATGCAAAAGAATAAGGCAGAAGGAAAAATTTCACAAGAACAATAACAACCAATTCTGTTATAATAATATTTTGCTAATTTGAAGCTACAGAAGAGAGCCTCCCCTCTGGGTCATGAATCAAGCTGCAGTCTAGCCATATTGCATGGTTTTCCACAGGTGGGCAATGGGCTGGCTGCTGAACAGGTTAGGTTGCTAGGCAGAAGCTTTGGAACTGGGGGAGACTTTTGAATATTAGTGACCTCCCTACCCTTCTATTATGCAGCTTTAGAGTTTGAGGTCAAGGGCATGGTGGAAGAGAAGCTTAGGAACTGCCATGCTGCACAAAATCCCAAGAGCTGACAGGAAACTTCCCAAAGAGCCAGGCTCAGACTCTGGTTCTCCTTCCCCATGCAAGAAGCTCCATGACAGCAGGTTACCTTACAGGCCTCCCTCACATTCTTGAGTAAAGTCCAGATCAGTCCCCAGTTCTATGGAGGCCAACTACTTACCAGCAGGCCTGATACTCAGGGCAGGCATTACTATCCCAGTCACCTATGAATTGGGCCACCCAGCCAAAATAGAGGACATACAGTTAAATTTGAATTTCACATAAACAACATTAAAAATTTAGTATATCCCAAATATTAAACAGAAATACTTACACTAAAAAATCATGTGTCATTTATCTGAAATTCAAAGTGAACTGTACATCTTGTATTTTTATTTGCTAAGGCGGGCAACCCTACTTACGAAGTAGGTAAATCTGCCCTCATATTGACCTGCAGACAAGGGCACTGGGGTTTGTGGGGTTTGATGCTGTGGGTTTCTGTTGTAAAGGGGCAGACAGTAGGCAAGGGCCAAACTTTAGACCCTTCCCTCCAAACTGCCCCCTCCCTGCTAGCTCAGGCTTCAGCTCCAGGCTGCACTACTCCCCTGCCCCTATAATCAGCTCAAACAGCCTCGGAGCCCCCTGGGCTTCCCCCTGGGTTTTGTGGTTGTCATTGGTAGTTCTTAGTATCCAGGCCTTTCACGTGTTTCTAACATATCTCAGGATTGATCCCGAGGGAAGGAGACAAACCAGGTCCAGCCAGTTGGCCATCTTAGCAGGACCTTGAGCCACGAATTGCTTTTAAAGGACATTGTGTTATTCATTCTATATGTGATTTATTAAAAGATCCACCAACATGGAAAGAAGGATGAAAGTAAATAAGTCAAAATAATCATAGTGATTGAGTCTAAAGAGTGGGAATTTGGGTAATTGCTATTTTCCTTTTTTGTACCTTTCTGCTATGTAAAGATAAACATCCTCATCCCCCCCCACCACACGCTTTTTAAATAAAGTAAAAAATAAGTTATACTTTATTTAAAAGTAAAAAATACCACTTTCATTCCATGCTGAATTCATACATGTTCTCTTCTGCTCCCTTGATCTCACTGTGCATTCACACCAGTGTAATCACTAACGCTTCCTATTCCGTGTTGGTTTCTGATACAGGAATTCCTGCTCTTTGTTTGTTTTCAATCTCTTCTGGTCATTCTTGTGCATTTTGTTGCTGTCAAGTGTCCCTAGGCATCTCAGAGTTTTGTGATGAGTGAGAACCCCTTCTCTTGTCATATTTTCTAATTACTAGAAGGCAGTGCCTGAGAATTATTCATTTCTGGACCCACTCAGGTCACCGCACTTTATCCGAGTTATAATGGTGAGGTTAAATGAGTAAGAGGCAGACCCAGCATCCAAGGACTGACCTCCCTCCTTTCAGAAGCTGCCTCTCCCCCAGTGTTAAGGAGGTACCTGTGGTCTCGCCCAGGACTCTGGCTCCATCAGCTCCCCCTCTAGCCGTGGGGTGAGGTGCAGGACAGGTGGGACTGACCTGGCCTTCTCCTACCACTCCAGCCCTTCCTGGCTTTGCCTGCCCTCTGGTGGAGGCGCCACTACCCTGCGGTGCTGCCAGCAGACACCAGAGTGGGCCCCTCACCTGGTTGGGGCATCTGCCCGCATCTGCCAGGTGATGACATCAGCTGGTGACGTACTCACACACTGAGGGCAAACACCAAGCAGCGCTGCCCTTGAGCTTGAGAATCCCAGCCTACGCAGGAAGGAAGAGGAATGACTGCTTTTTCCCAAGCTGGCAAGCTTACTTCTCTCTCCTCCCCCAGCTCTGGACTCGGTCCAAGCTTTATTTTGTCTTGCCTTTCCCTGAGAGCCCTTGCTAGTCTATGAAGCCTTATGTCCCCTACTCTGACTTCTCATTCATTCTTCAGTGATGAGGGAGTGATGAGTGGAATGTGACTGTCTCTGGCCTGTGTTACCTTCGCCTCACAAAATGTCTCCCAAACCTTATACATGTCCTACGTGACTCAGCAACCCAGCCAAGCTACCCAGCAATACAGTTTAAGATTACCTGGGCATAGCCGGGTTGTAGACACTGCAAATAATTTAAAGAAATGTAGGTATACTATTAAGTTCATGTTGGATTCAACTGAATCATGTGCCTACTCTTGAAAAAAATCCCTCTTACCTCAGAGCCAGAACACACACACACACACATACACACACACACCTGAAGACGAGGACAATGTGTGCAAAGTATGAAGGTATGTGAGCCATGGCAGATCCACTCTGAAGAGACTAAGTGGATGTCAGTTCCTTCAAGGGGAAATTTTTAAAGATGTAGGAAAACCATAGTATAAAACTAAATCCTTAAATACTGTGATGCCTAAACAACCTTATCAGGGTGCAGAATATAGGTGCTTATCTCACAGAAACATTAAATGCTCCAGAAAAACAAGCAAACAAACAAACAAAACAAAACAAACAGGAAAGAACTCCATTTACTGGAGAATCACACCCTTTATATCATTCCAGAAAGAATCTGTACAAGTCTTACCACTTCTCTGGAGAGAAGATTTCCCTGTTGACCATTAAAGTCCAGGGGCCCTTGGATTCTGACTTGAATTCTTCTCGCTGAGATTTAAGTGTATCCACTGGTGGCTCCCACAACAACCAAGAAACGGGCTGGTCTACCATAATGCCCTTCCCCACTCCCCAGACCTCCTATTTCCCAATTCCCTCATCATATTCATTAGTCTCTGGGCTCACTCCAAGTTGGCCAACTCTTGCTTAATAAACCAGCCCTCAGGGGGAGGGGGGAAGGAAAAACATTTTGATGCATTCCTTTAAAAGGAGTTAGCGTCTCTCATTGGCCCGATGGGAGCATATGCAGAATACCCACCAGAGGAAATCACGCAGAGGCCGCTGAGACACCTGCCTGTGGGGTCACACCCCCTTTCAGCCCTTTTCCAGGAAGGGAGGTGACAGTAGTCACCCAGCTGCTCAGATGTAACCTGCACCA